GAAGACAATTAGCCAATAAAAGACATGTATTGGCTGTAAATCAGTGCTGTGTAATTAGGTTCATGCTGCATTATGATACGAAGGGCAAAAGCTTATGTGAGTTCACTGTACCTGGACCTCCAGACTCCCTCAGAGGAGAGTGGCATTTGATCTCAGTCTGACTGGGACTGATTCTGTTGGATACTGACTTCAGAAGGTCAAATTTGCACTCACGTTAATTAAAAGTAGTCCAACATATTTAATATTAGAAGCGCTCTTGTCCTTGGACTTGTTGTCTGAGACCATAATCACCATAAACAAGCAAAAGATCTGATCTCATATCAGCAGATCTACTGTGAGGTCTGTGGATACCAGCCAGGCTGGTCGGCTAAATTTTAATCTTAAGTCTTGCAAAAACTTTGTGTGTTAAAAGATATAAAAACCCATGTATCTGTTATATATTTGAATTTACTTTTTTACTTACTAGATTAAATTAAAAAATAAAGAATGAACACGTTGTTAAAAATAATGTAACATCATTTTAAGATCAGTTAAATCAATGTTTGAATCAAACCCTACAGTGCCTTAAACACTTCCCCAACTTTCAAATGTGCAGGAATTCCAAGTCTTGACAGTGTAAATAAGATTTTTAATAATGTGTGGTTGGCTGTGTCTGAAACTGGTTTACTCACCACAGATGGAAGCAATACGGACTCTGGCACATTGTATGAGTGGAGGCTTTGGCCTGGGACATTATAGAACCACTAACACTATTCTCAGCTCTAGAGTTAACCGCCAGTTCAGTGAGGGTTTCACAGTAACAGTCAGCAAAAATTCAACAAAGATTGAAAATGACAGCACTGTTAGGTTCATGCTTAAAAGGAGACAGTATGTACAGCATGTCACGCTGTACTCATGAACACTGTGATAAAAACCTGACAGTGTGCAAGAACCCCTGAAATTAACATAAAGCTTTGAGATAAACTATAGTCCAAATTCATAATTGGAAGTTATCACAGGTTTGGTTCTGGATTCGAACTTCTTGTCTGTTGTAAAGATAGCATAAATCTGAAAACACAGCAATAATTCAGTGAGCACAGGTCTAATCGTTACCCTTTCTGTTATAAGGGCTTCTTTTGTGGTGGAAGAACATTAATTTAATTTGCTTCTTACAAATCTACATGCAGTGTAAATGGTTTTATTCAACTCAGATAGGTATGTTTGAATGAAAAAACGCAAGACAAATAGATAAGAGGAAGCACTATTTTACATCAGCTCAAACCTCAAAACCCTTTAAACCAGCTTGCCCTGCCCTGTTTACAGTTGACACCCCTCCAGGATGTCTCTTCAGGAAAAATGAATACAAACTGATATATTCAAGGATATTCAAGCATTGTCATGTGGTAGCATTTCTTATGAATCAAACGGCGTCTTTTTATCCAAGCAAACCATTTGTATGCAAAGAATGGGTCTGATTGGATCACACTATCCTCAACGTAGGGAACAATTATTGGGAAAAGTGCACTGTTAGTGAGATGTTCAGGCACTATAGGCAGCACTGCAGCGCGATTACCGTCTGTCTGCCTTGCATCATGAACTACATCCACTGAGTTTAGTAAAAACATAAGCTTTTAATCAAGTGTACAGGAATTCACGGAGCTGAAGTGGCATCACTTTTACAGCGCGTGATGTGCGCCTGTGCGGTGAATACCTCAGTTTTAATGAATCTACACGAATGTGAATGAAACCTGAGTAAAAGAAAACCTGGTAAGTGTTCCGTAAGTTTGACGTCTACAAAAATATAGCTGTCGTTAATAGTGCCATTACTTTCTGAGCCGTTTGCCTTAGGAGAGTAAAAATAATCTCGCGTGTTAGCAGCTATAGCTAGCTGGCTGGTTAGCTGGTTAGCTGTCAAGCTAGGTCAACGCATATTTATGGGTCAACGTCCTTGCTGTGGTAGTTAGCTAGGTTAGGTTAGCAGCTATAGCTGGACGCCTAAACCTCTGTTTTCTTCTTTGTATTTTACTGAATTTCTGAATTTAATCGTTGTTTAATTCGGTTAACGTAAAGTTTTGGTTCTCTGGTGTGCACAGGAAACCTTTAAGAAGAGGTTCTACAAAAAACCTTTAAAAAAGTCCTGTGAAGCAACACTGAATCCTTTTAAATTCCCTTTCAAGACACTTGAAAATATTTATTTTGAAATTTACTATTTATGTATTCATTTTTTGTTTGTTTATCGTCCTCAGCTGAAAACGTTCCTTTCAAAGAACATTGAAAAATTCTTTAGGGAACCAAAAGTAGCGTTCGTTTTTCTATGACATTTGTACAAAGAAGTTCAATTTAGCGCCTATTTATAAGAGATTTTAACCTGCACCCTAAAGCTCAAACTTAATAATAATAATAATAATAATAATAATAATAATAATAATAATAATAAGAGTATTTTTAAATGGAAATACTAATTACTAAAAATACTAATAAGTTTGCCTTTTTTAACAATAATTCTGTTTCAGGGTTGCTGTACAAAATAGGCCTGTGTAATTATTTGAAAATAATATTATAAATAAATGTATTCAATATAATAGAAACCTACATAACAAGATAGCAAAAGAGATAAACCTGAAAGTTATGTTCCTGTAAAGATGTACATGCACATTTGACCTCTGATTCAACCCCCTGAATCAGTGTACAGACATCAGAGTCAACTAATAGGAGTCTCTCTTGATGAGGATTTCCATTACATTCAGGAGAGACCCTGTGAGACCCTCGATCAGCGTACTGTGAATATGAGAATCCATGTGTCCACGTTCTTGCAGCTATAAACAAATACCACTCTGCCCTCTAGTGGCTGTTTTTGGTTTCTCAGTATAAAGTGAGTCTAGCTCTTAAGAACACCTAGACTTGGTAAAACTTTCTTCTGCACAAACTGTAGGCTTCTGCCCTCTAGTACTTACTTAATGTAATTTCTGAACAAAGAAAAGTCACAGTTAGCCTTCAAAGTGTAGATTTGTACAAGCCATGTCCTCAACCGTCTGCACATCTTTAATATATTGTACATAAGTCGTAGAATAATTACGAACAATGTACGGTCCGTATTTCCCACATAATCTGTGCTTTTAGAAGGAAAAGGATGGAAGTGACGTAATTCTCTTCCCCTCCCTTCTCCTCCCTCTCTCTCCCTCCCTCTCTCTCTCTCTCTCTCTCTCTCTCTCTCTCTCTCTCTCCAACAACAGTGCCTGCAGAGAACTTTCCATTGATCAATTTCAATCTTTTTTCACTTATGCAAGCTAAAAGGAAATAGTCAGCTAATCAGCTCACTATATATGCAGTGAGAGCCATGATGCACCTTCAGTGAGTTCATTCATTACTTTTCAGTTATCATTTACTTGTGTTAAAATTATTATATCTGTAAACAACGTTATGATTAAGTAAAGTTTCTCATCATCATTCATTGAGAATTTCTACAGAAAGTGGACTAAGGGCCAAAGTAACAGGTGTTAAACTAACAGGTGTCAATAGAAGGGTGCATCAAAAAAAAAACTAGAGACAACATGATACCACTTTTTATTCTCCAATACTGATACGGATATTAAAACCTTGAGTATTGGTTGATACCAAAGAATATAAACAATATTTTTCTTTAAAAAATACTAATCCTTAAAATGAACTATTTTAAAGCATTTAAGATTTGCATCTAAATGTAAGCTAAACTACTCAAACACTCTACTAACACTTTACTACACACAGCTAACAACATCACATCACACAGTGTGAGTCTGTGCTATTTCAGGATAGACTTGTTACAGGACTGGATTAAATTCTTTTTTTTCCTTTGTTCCATTGTTTTCTGATATCAGCCCCCTATCGATACCCATCAATACCAATATGTCATTTCTAACAAAAACGTGAAGTAAATGACTAGAAGAATAACAGTTCTGTAAATAGAGGGTGATTCAGAAGTCAGGAACCATCCAACTATCTGTAAGACACATAATGTTGACTTATTGCGTGTTACCCTCTTCTGAGATGGCTTTACACTAGATGTTGGAACACTGATGTGAGGATTTGATTGCATTCAGCAACAAGAGAATTAGTGAGATCAGGTACTGATGTTGAATGATTAGTTCTGGATCACAAACGCCCACTCATACTGGGGGCCCAATGCTTTACTTTTATATGTGCTTGGCATTGGGCATGGTGACCTTAGGCTAATGTGTGGCTGCTCCAGAGTGTCCCATTCTATTGACAGTGCTTTTCTATAGAGATTTTACAGGCTGTGTGTGCCCAATGCCTGTGTCAGCAAAGGGTGCGCCTTTATGTAGCTGATATTACCAATTAGAAGGGGTGTCTGGACACTTTTGGACATCTACTGTACAATGGTAATGATGGTAACTTGCAGTGTTTACATGATAAACTACATTCTTTGTTTGGTGTTGTTGTGGTGTCTTCTTACAGTCTGTAAAAGAAAAGAAAGCATGGAGAGAGTCATATATTTATTGTTTCTGTGGCTGTGCTGCTTGTACTGAGAACAAAACAGTATACAAATTGAATCTGAAATAAAAATTTAGAAAGCACATTTGAAATAAAGAAATCACATAAAATTGGTCTCATCCTACTTCAGCTTTGGTAGATACAAATACCATTTAAAAAACAGACTTAGTAGATTGACATGAAGGGTAATATTTAATATATGACAGGACTATTTCATTTAAACAATAGCTTTCTTATTTTGCTATGTTTATTATGATAATTATTAAAGACATTATAGAAAGTATTAATGCATTTTGAACATTTTCATGACATGTTCTCTTTATATGTTTTCTGCTTGTTATAATTTAACATTAGACAAATGTGCTGGGTGAGAGAGCGAGAGAGAGAGAGAGAGAGAGAGATGCAATGCTCGTTGCTGGCCCTGTGTCATGCGCATGCACGAGAATCAGCTTTTGCATGCGTGTGCCAGTGTGTGTGTCTACGTGTGTGTGTCTGTGTGAGTATGCCAGCGTATGTGTGTGTGGAGCTCGTGGGAGTCTGTAACAGAAATCAGGGTTTATGTCTGCAGGCTGCAGTCACACAGATTGCACTGTGCTGGATACATGAGCAGCTGGATTTACTGAAACAGCAGCGAGACAGTGAGTGCCACTCTATCATTCTTTTTTAAGTGTCTCAAATGAAACAATGAGATAAAAAAAACTGAGAGAGGGGGTTGAAGTTCTGTGGATGCTGGTAGACAGAGTGAAGAGAGAGTGTCATATACTGCTGGAGACAGGATTATAAACAACAAAAGTGTAGTATATATATTGAATAATTTGTGCACTGACAATAGCTATCAATGTCCTCTGTGAAAGGATAGAAAGTAGAATAAAAATAGAAATAGTTACTTAACTGTCTCTAGGTCAACTACAGGCTGGTGGGAATGAGCAGCATTGCGTGATGGACGAATGACTGATATGAGAAAAGTAGTTTAAACAAATCTCAATGGCCTTTAACTTGTGTTCATATTTTGGCACAAAGTAACTAGGAATGTTACTCTGGATCACGATAATGTACTTCCATCTAAAATGATTTCCATGTAAATTTTGGATTTGTACTTTTCTGAGCAGTTTTAAATGATAAATATTTTTACGTATACTCAAATATATTTGTGAGGAATTCAGTTGGTTCAGCACCTGGACCACTTTACTATTACCCATCATCCTTTTGAGCTTTAGCATTTATTTTAGTCCAAAAAGATTTGTAAAAGAGAAATGTAGTGGCTAATAAACTTTAATTCCTATGGTGATGAATGCAGGATGTACTTGAAGTCTCGTTGAACTCTTAATCAAGTTTTGGACTGGATACCTTTTACTCCAAGTTGTTTTTAGCTACTTTTAATTCTGCTTGTATATTTATCTCTCTGAAGTTACAATACTTTAACTTAATGATAATTCTAGACCACTCTAGTCGCACCTGTTTTTTAAGATTACTCTGTGATCTCTCATTTTCTGGGAATTGATTTGATTAAAATTCTTGCCGTCACAGGTTGACCTTTAACCAGGCCAAGGTGACTCCAACCGCTTTCTTCAGTCACAGTTTGAAGTTATGAAGGAGAGCTAAATTGCACAGTAGAATACACCGTAGTCTGCATAGACTTCAGTCCGAACTTCAGCTTTTTTTGTGAATGTTGTCGAACCCTTTACATTTTTAGTTTGACACCTGTTAACTTATTAATCTGTAAATAATGATGTGCACTGAAGCATGCAAAGCAAATGTTGAATTCCCTCATTTGATGTGGACATTCATAAAAATGCGTTTCCCAAGCAGCGAATTGAAGCAGGGGTCACTTAGAAGCGGCCTGAGAACTGTGAGCTAAAGTTTCTGTATTATGTCTATATGTCAGCGTTCCATGCGATATAGAGAGCAGAGATTTTCTTTTTGATGTAAGTGTCCTGAACTCAATCACAAAGTGCTGGGTCATTGCACTGCTCACCCTCGCAGTTCTGGTGGCCTTGGTGTCACATACAGTTTTAGTTAACTTTAGTTTTCTCTAGCATCAAGTGCATTGTTCACAGATAAAGCTGTTATATGATAATTCTTCCCATGAGCTCACCTCTCCACACTGCCACTAGGTTTAGAAAGTCAATTAGGAAGTGTTACAAAATTGCTAATATAGTAAAAGCCATATGATTCATCTTAGGTTGACATACTGACACCATCAGCATCATAATCATTGACATACTTGTTTCAATGTAAATGAGCGCCCAATGAAAATGAACACATGACCTCAATTTGTGGATTACCTTCTCATCATGTGGCGGCTTCGCCTTGTGAGTCGCAATAGCAGAATGAAGAGAGGCACATAGGTTACTCCTGCCTCCTCATACTGCAGTTTTTTTGGCTTACATTATGTTTTTACATTATGTAAAGGCATCAGAGGTAAAGAATACATTTTAAAATGACAACTGTAGACAGCTTAGACACTGCGTGTATAATCTTCATTGAAAAGCTTTGCCAATAGAATAGGCTGTGGAGCAGTGCAATTGTGTTCTCTGGAGATGAGTTGGAGTGGCATTTGTGATCCAGAACTAATCATCCTCATCCTCAAGCATCTCCCTAATGCTCCTGTGACTGAACGAAATCAAATCCTCACAGCAGTGTTCCAACATCAACTGTAAAGCCTTCCCAGAAGAGTAGCTAGCAAGTGGATGAGTGTCTTCAAATTATTGGATATATAGTGTACATATTGTCACAAAGTAGTTTTACAAAATTAAAAGGTGAACGCTTACTCTCCTTTCTACCTGAATAGTATACACTGATCAGCCATAACATTAAAACCATATTCTTGTTTCTACTTGTTTCTACTTGTTTCTTTCCATTTCATCAGTTCCACTTACCATCTAAGTGCACTTTGTAGTTTTGCAATAACAGACTGTAGTCCATCTGTTTCTCTGCATACTTTGTTAGCCCAGTTTTACCCTGTTCTTTAATAATCAGGACCCCCACATTACCACCACTGAGGAGGTATTATTTGGGTGGTGGATCATTCTCAGCACTGCAGTGACAAAGACGTGGTGGTGGTGTGTTAGTGTGTGTTGCGCTGGTACGAGTGGGTCAGACACAGCAGTGCTTCTGGAGTTTTTAAACACTGTGTCCACTCACTGTCCACTCTGTTAGACACTCCTACCTTTTTGGTCCACCTTGTAGATATAAAGTCAGAGCTCATCTGTTGCTACGCAGTTTGTGTTGGTGATCTTTTAGTCCTTCATCAATGGTCACAGGACGCTGCCCACAGGACGCTGTTGGTTGGATACTATTCTCGGTCCAGCAGTGAAACTGAGGTGTTTAAAAACTCCAGCAGCACTGCTCTGTCTGTTTCACTCAGACCAGTGCAATGCACGCTAGCACACCACCACCACGTCGGTATCACTTTAGTGCTGAAAATGACAAGGAAGTGGTTTTAATGTTACGGCTGATCAGTGTATATTACCATTAATCCCAGTTGTCATGATAATAAGAATCAGCACCTTGTCAAGTCCACTTGGGAAGAATTCCTGAGATCTGAGTTTCATCATATATACTTATATAGTGGTTAATAAGTATAAAATAAGGACATGCAAGGAATATCTACAGTCAATTCAGGGATCATAAACTCATGAAAAAAGCTTGTTGCTGAAGTTTTTGTAGATGTCTATGTAGATGTAAGGAACAAGTGCTCCAGAGAGAAAATTGTAAACCAGAAATGAGGACGAAATTAATGTAACAGAGATTTAGTTCCATCAAGCTTGTAATTGTTTTCTGGTTGTTCGCTGTGACAAGGCCAAAGGTGACCAAAGAGTGTCAATTACGTATCTCTGTAAGCCTTCTGAAATCCCATCATAGTAAAGACGAAGGAGACAGGAGGTTGAAAATGAATGGGGTAGCTTGTAACCCTCAACGTGTCTGTTTACGGGAAAGATCCGCCCTTCAATCAGCTTCTATTGACAAAAAACCAGAAGGGGGAAAGCCTACCCTCCCTGTGGAGACTATGCAAACTATATATGTGATATTTGGATTTTACCAGTGATTTCAAATATGTTTTTTAAAACATTAATGTGGCTTTAGTTTTAAGTTTATAGGCTTCTCCTAATTCAAGGAGATAATAGTCTGGTATTGTATGACTGGAAATAACTGCTCGAAGGTGTTGCCAAGATGGGTGCCAAATGGACAGACTTTACTATATAGATTTTGGTAGTGGGCTGCAGTTTTCCTTTCATTGCCAAAGTATAAATGTAAGAAAACATGTCATACTGCATGACCTGGAGGTTACTGTTAAAGGACTGCATCTTGTCCAATGCAACTCAGGCTTTAATAGGTGTATTCTGAATATTTTTAGATCTCAAGCACCCTTTTGTCACCTCCACACCTCACCAGATATGAGGTTGGTTGTTGTCAGTCTCTCTTGGATGGATCACTCCTGTACATGCACACCGTCACATTTTAGTTTACTGTTATTTTTAGAAAGTACTCCATATCTCAGCACAGGCACTATATATGATGAAACTCAGATCTCAGGAATTCTTCCCAAGTGGACTTGACAAGGTGCTGACAAGGCTCATTATTAGGGTATGTGTATTTTTGTTGTCGACATAATCTTTGTTTTACTAATTGTGAATTAGGCCAAAGGTTTAGTGGAATTATAGTGGAGTTTAGTGGAGCCAAAACATTTCGATTTCATACACATACACAAAGGTCACCATATCTCTGTTGACATAATTAGATATGATTAAACTATGACTATCAGTACTGTATGTTTAAGAATACTTAATTACAGTAATCAGCTAAACAGAATGCTTTCTTGACACTGTTGTACATATACTGATGGTTAAATTGAAAGAGATTAGGGTAGAGAGAAGCAGAGAGAGAGAGAGAGCATGTGAATGTATTGACATAAGAGCACATTTTGTGGCCCCATTTTGTAGCACAGGAAGATTGATGGCCGTATTGACTTGCATGACAGTATCTGGGTTGCTGTACTCTTGCTGCTGGTGGTTTAGCATACTGGTTAACAACAGTAAATACAAGAAACTTGTAAATTGTATGTACACTCAGAATTTTTTGATAATTTCTGTCTCATTGATGTTACTCAGCCACGTGCAAGGGAGTAAAACAGTTGTGTTGTCTCAGTGAAATATAGTGACGTCAGCTTTGGTTGGTAATTGTTTGATTAGTCAATGCATTCTTGTTCAGGAAAACTGTGTGATGTCTTTCCCTCAGTCTGCCTTTCTTTATGTAAGCACCTCCGTTCTGTTCTAGCTTCACAAAGTTATGTAAATATCACTTCAGTAATTTGAATTACTATTTGTACTTTCATTAGTTAAGCATAACCATTTTAAGTCAAATGAATTTAAGCATAATATGTCAAAATGATCAGTCATTAGCATATATTTGAACCATTTTTATGCATTTGACGAAGTATATTGCTGCTGTCAGAAGAAGTATATTGTTGCTTTAATTTTTTGACAGAATTTGAATGCATAAGCTCCCTTTTACGTTGTGTGAAAATTTCATGTTGAGAAAAAAAATTGTTGGAATAACATCTTTTTACATTAACTTGCCTGGAAATCACCATTTTTGCGATACAATCCTAGGCAAAAGTTTGGCTGCCCATGGTCAG